TGAACCCATCTTTCTCAGTCTCTCTCCAACCCCAAGGTCAGTCCTGTTTTACAACAGTGGCACCATGCAGTTATCTTCTATATCTACATTACTAATATATCATGACATGCCAGCGTACAACTTCTATTCTATTTCACAGTCAAATTCATTAAAGTTGCATGAATTATGGGTAATCTTTTACCATTTTAGGAATCTGTGCTGGAAACTCGAGAAGGGTTTATTCCAGTATCTACATGTTCTCAGGCAAGCAGCGAGATGGAAACATATTCAACGCAAAATGAAAGTTTAAAAAGAAAAAAGTACTATCCATTAGGCACTTCAAAGATAATAGAAATAAATTCACCTTTTAAAAAATGTACTGTATCCACATTGTTCAACTAATGACATTACTAGATCTGATAATTAAGCTCAAGAGAATCAAAACAAGTAACTCAGACAAGATCCTTTCTAAGTGGCAATTTGACAAAATTTGTATGAAGTAACCATAAACATTTTTGAGGGGTAAAATTCACCAAGACAACCTTCTTTTTCTACCTTTATATTCTACTTTGGTTTGTTTGATTGGCTATGGGCCAAATGCCTGGTTCTGTGCTTGTAAGTCTTCTGGTTTACCCATTGGCGATGACAACTGTCCCATCATGTTCATGGCACAAACTTTTATCAGAAATCTACAAAGTTAGGAATATTTATGTTTAGCTCTTAAGGGATGAAACATTTGTTAAACCCTTACCTGTACGCTAGGCCCTAGAGAACCTCCTCAATAAGAATAAATTATTCTTCTGGTTGAAAGAAAATTCTCTACTAAGCGAAGCTGGTATAGTAGTCTGAAATTCCCAGGAAGCAGAACACAGAAACTAAAGCAGCATATATTTTTATGTCTTAAAGAAATCAAAAATTGTAATGATTATGCACAGCAACTTGTGTCCACGAGGAATTAATATTAATAACACGATGATGTTAAAATTAGAACCAAAAAAAAAAACCAACCAAACAAAAAAAAAACCCACCCAAAACACCCAACCAACCAAATCCACTATACTCAACTGATTCTAACTCCTTGGGGTTTCTGAAGCTATATATCTTTATAAGAAGAAATGGCTTCATTGTCCTCCCACAGAACAGCTGATGAATTTAAACTGCTGATCTGCTGATTAGCAGCCCAATATATACCTCACTTTGCCACCAGGACTCCTTAGAAATATTCTGCAAAGGCTTTTGGCTGCCAGTCTGGGGCTATTTCCAGGCTGGGAAGATGAGTGGAACAGCTGGATTCTGCAAAGGTGTGTTTTCTGGTTTGGGGTGGAGAATAGGGTGTGGCTCTTGCTCACAATAGGGTATGCGCTAATGGGATTTGGCCTCCTCTTTTAAAAATGTGTTTGGGCCCTCAGGCCTGTTTTATGTGGATCTCCTGAATAAAACAGGTTTGGAAGTAGGACTGACATCCACTTCCAAAAAATGTTTGCCTCCAGAAACTATTCACTTGGAGAAACAATAAATGTTTAGCATTCATGACTTTCATTCATGGGTCCTCTATGTTTCTACAGCACTTAACAATAACAACAACATCAGAAACATCATCTTATCTAATTTGATAAGATTAAAACATAACTAGGGCCAGCTCAGAAAATGATCTAAGATATACTGAACCCCTAGTATATGATGAAGCAGGTTCTTCAAATTGACATCAGAATCAGAAAACACTCCATTAGTTTGGGTAATAAGACAAACTGGGAGGGGTGGGGCAGAGACAACTCTTAAGAAGCAACACATTTTTATGCTTTTCCCTTTCTTCCACACAACTGGAACACTGGAATCCTTGGACCATATCCTACATTTGCTCAATGTCCTTCCCAAAAGATGTTTCAAGTTGTCTTGCAAATTTATTTTCCTCATTCAGAAGACTCAAGCATTTTCTGAGTTATTTACAATACAAAGTCACTTGGAAGTGTTAAAAACTATTCTAATTTAGCACTAATCTCCCTCCTAGTACACTTTAATACTATTTGCATGAAATCATAGATCCAAGTTTAAAAGGGAGAGATCTGACCTGACCTCCTTCACAGTAAATCCTGTGTCTGTTTTAAAGATTAATCAATGCAAGCATATCCTGCGCCCAGTCAAGAGAGGCCAAGGCTCAAAAAACCAACACAAACCCATATGGAGAGGCAATAATTCAAGAGAATCAACTGAATACGCAGCTACGTCAAAGTACTGGCTGCCTGTGGAGTAGAACCTCTTACTGAAGTCAGATGTCTACTGATAGTCAAATGTCTAAATCTTTGGAGAAAAGGATAGATGACATCTTTCAAACTTCATCTCGTCAAGTCACCAAGCCTATTCAGAAGCTTGCTCTCCATACTGCCCTAACTCTTTTACCAGGTAATAATGTGTTTGTTAACTTAATGATAGAAACGGAAAAAAAGGATTTTGGAATTGACAAAAGCAAAAGCAGTTGGTAAAGTTGAACAACTGACATACTGGGTTCCTTGAACTCAGGCCACTGATCTGAGAAGTGGGGACACAGTGCCTGTGACCTTGGCTTCTCTGCATCAGAGAAAGTATCAAATAGGTGGTAGGTCCGTTACTCAAGGACTCTAACTTGTCATCAACCCCCAGAGAAAGTGTTTTATAATTGGCTGCCTTCCAAAACTGGATGTCAGCACCAACATCTTACCTTAATGGAGGCGAGGTGGAGCAAAGTCTCTCCTCTGTGATTTCTTTTTACAGCCATTCGACTGCTGGGTGACGTTGCTGGAGGGCTAGACAACATTCGTTTGTAACTTGAACTCTTCAGGACAGACGGTGGCGTAGCTGGCGAAAGGCTAATGGAGTCATCTGTGGTACGATCGCTTCTCCTCCGTGATGTGCCCCTAACTTTAGACCTGCCAGAAGGTGGGGATGAACATTCAGGCAGTAAGTCTTCAGGGCCTTTCTGATGGACAAGATCTCCACTGGTGCTCTCAATGCTGCGTCTGCGTGCTTTAGAAACGGGAGTGGACGCTGTGCTGGGATGCTCACACCTTCCATCACAACCCAAGGGCATGGGCTTCTCAGCGGCCAGATCATCGCCACAGGGACTCTTCTTGGGGGTCACTGATTCCTCCTTGCCTTCAATTTCAGGAGACACTATGTGCTCCGCCAAAGGCAATGAGATTCCATTCACGCTTTCGAGACCTTCAGACTTGGCAAGAGAGTCACAGGCGAGTAAATCTATCTCCTCCATGACCTGAGGACTAGCCAAGATGGAGGGCTGGCTGCAGAAGGACACCTGCTTCTCCTTCGCTTCCTCACTGGACTCAGCTTCCCCATTTTCTTTTTCAGCCTCTAAACTCCACTTGTGATTGATTTCAGCCAACGTTTTCTTTTTTGCCTTTTTCCTTGATTTGGCAGGAGCTTTCTTCCCTTTTCCAGAACACTCTACAGGAGGGCTGGTGGAAACAAACTCATACATTGAGGCCTGTTGGGCGTTCTTGTCATTCACCACCTGAGGGTGGGTGCGCACTAACATTTTACTCACAACGTACCGGACCTTCTTACTTCGAGGACTAAACCACATCTTTATCGAATTCCTCCTGTCTTCTGCATCACTGAATATATTTGTCTTCTGAGTCTCTTCCTTCATATCTAACATAAGAAGAAAAAAAAAATCTATCACACAAAGCTGATCTCTCCCATCTTTAAACCTTCAGGGAATGTGGTTTCTAATATTCCTAGGGAGTAAGACTGTCTGTTTGTTGTATGTGGTGGCCTGTGCGATGTTAACATGCTAGAAGTTATACCACTGGTATTGGAAATACCAAAGTTACCCATGATAGATGGATTGAAGCAGAACTTCCAGATTAAGGCTGACTAGGAAAAAGGAGGAAGCTCTGGTGGCCCAGTGGGAAAGGAGTTATGCTCCCAACCCAAAGGCAACAAGTTCGAATCTACCAGCTGCTCTATGGGAAAAAGATGGGCAATCTCCTCTTGTGCTATTTACAATCTCTGCAAAGTGACTGGAAGGTGAGCTATGAGTTGGTTCTGACTTGACAACACGTAACCACAACAACAAGGAAGAGACACCTGGTGATTTTTACTTCTTTTTTTTTATTTTATTTTTACTTCTGAAAAGCACTCAGTGAAAACTCTGTCGATCACAACAGAGCACCGCTCACCTCTCCTGCTTCAGAGGGATTAATTACAAAATGAGGACCATGCTTGATAATGTATAAAATAGACTCATAAAATGTAAACCTGATCTCAACTTTTATATTCTCTTCTTTACTAATGATACTGCAACTACATTGATGGGCATCCTTGTTGTTTGCAGAACAAACTAAGCATGTTTTTGCCTCAAAGATTTTGTAAACACTGTCACTTTGCCAGGAAAGCAGTTCCCTAAACAGCTGTACAACCAATTCCCTCATCAACTCCAGGCAAACCATTGCTCAAATGACACGTGTGTGTTTTATTGGACTCTTGCTGACATGATTTAAACTCACAAGCCCTCCCTTCATACCAGCTTCCCTTATGTGTTGTCTGTCCTTTCCATTAGAATATAAGTTCTTTGCAGGCAAGTGTTGCCTCAACTCTGTTGGATCCTTCGCGCCTCTAACAGTGTATATACAATATGTAGCAGGTGCTAAATTCACATTCACTGATTAGGATCTTGTAACGCAGGTAAAGCAATCTGGCTCCCTTCCAGAAAGAAAGGATGCACTTTTTTATGCTTTACTAGGTCTAGGAGGAACTTTAGAAAGGAAAGAATGGACACAGTGAGACCAATTATGTGGCTATCTTCCCAGAGAGAGATCACAGTGCTATGACTATCACTACATCAAAAGAAATGATAAAAGTGTCAAATTGGAAATTTAAAATGCTACAAATTAAGCAGGACAAGAAGCAGTGGGAGACACAAGATGATGAGAAGATTGAGTAGAAGGAGAGTATCTATTTAAGGAACTGAAAATGGCCAGAATACCTAGCTTGCAGATGTCAAGAAAGTAGTATATAGAAAAGGCTCTGAAAGCAGGCAGCAGGCAGATTATGCAAAGTTTCGCTGGCCATGCTAACAACCTCAATCCTTATGCCAAGAGCATCACTTAAATGTTTTAGATGAGTTAGGAGGCAGAACGTGTTGCGTGCCATCAAGTCTGAATTAATCCATTACTGATCCTCCACAGGGTTTTCAGAGGCAGTAAAACACATGAGAGGAGGGAGACTGCCCATCCTTCTCCAGCAAAGAAGCTGATGTAATCGAGCCATATACCTTTGCGATTGAAGCACAGCTTCTTATCTTAGCAGAGCTCCCTAGGAGGCATAACTAGATTTGGATTTTTATTTGGCTGCACTGCAGGTCAACCACTTGTAGGATGGAAAGAAAGAATGCAAGAATAACTTTTAAGACAAGTAGGACTATATTTTTATCACTTTTAAAATTGTTGTTGGTATGTGCTATCAAGTCGCCTGTGACTCATAGTGATTCTATGTAAAATAGCCCTGAAGCCTGGCTTGTCCTGAGCTAGTCTCACTGACTCCAATACACCCTACTCACATTGCCTTACTTACTCTAACAATCCATCTCATCCTGGGTCTTCCTCTCCTGTGCTCTTCCTCCACCCTTCCAAGCATGAAGTCCTTCTCCAACGACCATCCCTCCTGGCCATATGTGAGACAGAGCTTTAAAATCCTAGACTCCAAGGAGAAACTTGGTTTCATCCTAAGACAGACCTGTTTATTTTCTTGGCAGTCCATGGTATGTTTAAGACTCTTCTTTAGCACCATAACTCAGAGGCATCAATTCTTTTATCATCCTCAATCATTATGCAGATGCTTTGGGCAGAACATTAAATGATCCAGGAAGTATTAAAAGAAGATGGCAGGAATATACTGAGTCATTGTATAGAAAGGAATTGGCAGATACTGAACAATTTAATGAAATAACATGAGCAAGAGCCTATGGTGATGAAGGAAGAAGTTCAAGCTGCTTTGAAGGAAACAGCAAAAAATAAGGCCCCAGGAATAGATGGTATATCAATTGAAGTATTTCAGCTAACAGATGCTGCCCTGGATGTGCTCACCAAGTTATGTAAAGAAATCTGGAGAACAAGCACTTGGCCAACTGACTGGAAGAGATCTATATTTGTTCCCATTCCAAAGAAGGGTGACCCAACTGAGCGTGGAAACTACAGAACGATATCATTGATTTCACATGCAAGCAAGATTCTACTGAATATTATCCAAAAACGACTATAACAGCACATCAGCAGAGAACTGCCAGAAGTCAGGCTGGGTTTAGAAGGGGTCGTGGTACTAGGGATATTGTTGCTGATGTTAGATGGATCTTAGCTGAAAGCAGGGAATACCAGAAGAATGTATGTGTTTCATTGATTATGCAAAGGCGTTTGACTGTGTAGATCACAACAAACTGTGGCTGACTCTGAGAAGAATGGGAATCCCAGAACATTTAATTGTGCTAATGCGAAACCTATACTTGGACCAAGAGGCAGTCGTCAGAACAGAGCAGGGCAACACTGCATGGTTCAAAATTGGGAAGGGTGTACGCCAGGGATGCATCCTGTCTCCATACCTTTTCAACATGTATGCAGAGCAGATTATCCGAGAGGCTGGGCTCTATGAGGAGAATTGTGGCATCAGGATTGGTGGAAGGTCTATTAACAATCTGTGTTATACAGATGACACAACCCTGCTTGCTGAAACTGAGGAGGACCTCATGCACTTGCTGAGGAGGGTCAAGGACTGCAGCCTTTAGTATGGACGGAGGCTCAATGTCAAAAAGACAAAGATTCTCACCACTGGACCAATCGGTAGCATCAGGATGGATGGCAAAGAGATTGAGATTATTCACAGCTTCAGTTTGCTTGGCTCCACAGTCAACACTCTTGGCACCAGCAATCAGGAAATCAAAAAGAGTATTGCAATGGGAAAGTCTGCTATTAGGGACCTCTCCAAAGTACTGAAGAGCAATGGTGTCTCTCTGGAGACTAAGGTGCGTCTGATACAGGCCATGGTCTTTGTGATTGCTTATTATGCATCAGAGAGTTGGACAATGACTAGGGATGACAGAAGGAGAATTGATGCCTTTGAGCTGTGGTGCTGGAGAAGAGTATTGAATGTACCATGGACTGCCAAGAAAACAAACAGATTCATCCTGGAGAGAATTAAACCAAGCAACTCCTTGGAGGCAAGGATTCTGGGGCTTCATCTGACATACTTTGGGCATGTTGCCAGAAGGGACAGGTCCTTGGAGAGTGACATCATGCTTGGGAGGGTGGAGGGACAGCGCAGGAGGGGAAGACCCTCCTCCAGGAGATGGATTGATTCAGTGACTGGAGTAATCGGGATGGGTGTGTCGGAGGCAGTGCGATTGGCACAGGATAGAGCAGGGTTTAGGGCTGTTGTGCATAGGGTCGCTATGAGTTGCAAACGACTCGACGGCACATACAACAACAACAAGAACAACAACTAATGAATAGCAAGTAACTGTGATGACCATGGCCTGGATCAGTCACACCTTCAGCTCCAGGATGACACCATTGCTTCTCAGTGCTCTGGAAAGGTCCCTGACAGCATATTTACCTAATGAAATTCACCTTTTGATTTCCGGGCTCCTAGTGCCAAAAGTGCTGTTTATGGAGCCGAACAAGCTAAGCTAACTGTTAACAACCTCAACCTCTTCTCCATCCATCAGGGTGCTGCTAGCTGGCCCAGGGGTGGACCCAGAATCAATGTTCCAGTGGGTTTTTAGTGCCTGATTTAGATCACTGGGCCTTTTCCAAGAGTCCACTTCTGGGTGGACTCAGCTAACTTGTAGGAAGACTAAAATGCTAGACTAGGAACAGTTCTTGGAAAAACTGGGATTAGGGCAAAATCAATGGCTAATGCGGCAAATCAAAAAAGGCTCAAATCCAAAATACAGGTATCATGTAAGTTACGGTCTTTGGTATGAAAGTGGTTAATTCATAGATAGAGCCAAATACCTTCTAAGACAAGCTCTCTGAGTTAGGAGGATGGGACATGGCCTATGTCTCATGAGACAACTCAGTCCATGGGAATAACCAGTTTGGGAGCTGACAAAATCACAGTCTACATCCTTATGAACTGAGTACTATCTGAAGTCTTAAAAGCTTGTGAGGCCTAGGACACAGCTGTGGGTCTGTAACTGCCAGGTCAAAACACCAAGAGTGTAACTAAAAACTGGGAGGGAAATCATTCTAACAGCCCAATGCACAACTTTACCAAATTTTAAACTCTGCAGTTTTCCCTCCCTCTGTTCAGATGATAGATTCTTGGTCTAGGTATAGGTTTTGCATAAGCACAGCCAAGTGTTTGGGGATTCCCATTCTTCTCAGTGTTAGCAAAAGCATGCTGTGATCCACAATCAAATGCCTTTGCACAGTCAACTGGAAAAAGACGAGGGTCAGGGAAGGACAGGAAGACCCTCAACGAGATGGACTGACGGAGACTCTATCAAGAGGCTCAAACAGAGCAGAGGTCATGAGGGGAGTACAGGACAGGGCGAGGTTCAGACCCACTATTCACATGGTCACCAGGAGTCAAAAATGACTTGATAGCATTGAACAACAACAACCTGTAAGGTGGGTACTCAAAAACTTTTGTATCAA